GGAGGAGGAGGAGGAGGAGGAGGAGGAGGAGGAGGGAGGAGGATGGAGGGAGGAGGTGCGTAGTGAGAGAGGAGGTCGCCGAGGACTGAGGCGTCTTCGAGGGACATTCCTGCGCTAGATGGGGGCGTGTTAGATTGTGTGATGTGGGTGGGTTAAGGGTAGTGGGGAGATGTGGGATGATATGATACATATTTCTTTGACAGAACATCTGAGATTGAGAAACGTGCCAGAAAACATCCAGGTGAAAATCAAACAAATATATACCTCCCTCAAGCAAAAATTCTTGCCAATCAGTACCAGTATCACACACAATCATCCAATCATCCAATCGCCCAAATCCCACCACCACAACTCGCACCACAACTCGCACCTCGTATAGAAGAAAAAAGAAGAAATCAAATAAAAAATAACACCTACCCAGAAGCAAGATAAGGAAGCGTAGCATGAACCGCATCACCCAACAGCGTAAAATGTCCCGACGCATGACTCCATTTCTCAAGTCCTGGTCGTGTACATAGACGCCATTTATGTACTGATTTGCATCTGCTGAGGAGTTTTGATATTCTGCGGCGATGGTGGGGGGTTGATGTTAGTGTTGATGTTTATATATATATATAGTAGTGACAAGAAGGAGAAAAGAAAGAAGTAGGAATAGAGAAGGAAAAAGAAAAAGAAACAAGAACCTCGGATCCCAATCCTCAAACAGCGCACGCATTTCCATTACATTACCCTCGAGAGTCGTAGCTCCAGCGGGCATATCGTCTGGAACGAGAAGAACCATATTGAAAAGGTCGCCGCCGCGGAGAACATAGTTTACTGGGGTTGTGTGTGTTAATACCATGCATATACACAGTTCAAGAATAAACTTTCAAGATAGAAAAGGAAAGGGAAAAGCAACACACCAGCATGCATTTTTGGTCCCAGCCAATAATTCACCTGCGGATTCTTTACAAAATCGGCGAGTTCGTCATCGGCTAACATTTCCTTGGTCGATAATAGTAATCTATATGCTAGGTCGCCTGTTAGATGTGGTGGGTCTTCTTTTCCTAACATTACTTCTCGCATTTTACTAAATACCCCATCGGCGCCCACTACCAAATCTGCCTTTAAATCCTCCTCTTCCTCTTCCCGCTTCCCTCCTCCATTTCTACCCCCCTCAACCAACACCCTCGCCCCCCGCTCCTCTCCCTCCCCCTCCAAAATCCGCACTCCCACCACCTTAACCCCCACCCTCACCCTAACCCCCAATTCCACCGCCCGATCATACATTCCCCGATGCAAATTCGCACGATGAAAATCCCAATAAGCCGTTCCTGGATACCGGGCTGCGCTCGCCTGGCAGTCCATCGTCGATATTATGGAGCCGGTTTGCCAGGATCGCATGTTTACGTGAGATGGTGAGGTGCTGTGGGCAGAGAGGTGGGGGAGGAGTCCCCAGGTTTGGAGGATTAGGGAGGTGGGGGGGAGGATTTGGATGCCGGCGCCTATCTGGGGGAGGTTGGGGTTAGTGTTGGTTAGGAGAGGATGGGGATGGATGGGACTGATAACTGGGGATGGATGGAAATGTACTTCGCCGATTTTATGGGCGGATTCGAGGACGGTGACGGAGTGGCCTGCGAGAGAGATTGCGATTGCGGCACCTAGACCGCCGAGACCTGCGCCGACTATTATCACCTTGTCTTATTTAGTACAGTTATCACAGGCTGTATGGAAAAAAATGTAGATTGAAGAGTGAAGATCGAACATACCTTCAACTTATTTGCTTCATCGCGAATAATCTTCTCTTTCACTGGAACAGTTGAGGTATCGGCAGATATAGTCATAATATACCAATATAGTAACTCGATGCACACACACGACAAATAGAAAAATAACGATATTAGTATGCCGAGTATAGTAAATATCAGATATGATATACCACCGATATTAGAATTGAAGCCGATGATAACGTCACCAAACGAAACCTCTCAATCAAGCCCTACTCATACGGTATGTATAGATCTCACGATAATCCCGATAACCTCTCCAATACCCATTACTGCAGAATATGCAGCACGATAAGATCAGTGATAAGATACATAATATCATAGTATCGTAGCACAAGCTCAATCATACTCAAGATACAACCCCTCCCACTTGGCCGCCTCACATGAAGACGCGTTACCCCTCATTGACACGGACCCGAATCTCATTGGTCAATAGAGAGCTATCATATCGTGTGCTGTCATTGCATCCCGACTACCTGCATTATGCACAGCGAAGTATCCCACACTAACGAAAATGAATTGATAGGTAAGATGGACCTGGACTATCAATCGCTGCAGGTTGAACAACCTGCCCGTTTGGTAACTTTTACCCGTATTGCTTTTCGGATTTGCGTATACTGTACTTTGTGAAGTGGTCATTAACAACTTTTAGAAACCTACCCTAGATGGAAGACGCTGATTAATGGTTGATGACCTCGAATTGCCTTATCAATAAACACACCCGATTATCAGAACTTACATAAACAGGAAGTCAACACGCAAGCTACCACGTGCTGCCATGGATATCGTCAATCAGGTGACGATCATAGGGGCAGGCCCAGCAGGTCTCATGCTAGCGTAAGTCAACTCGTTTCTCCCTAACCTCGAACTTCGATGTCTTTATTGACACACCCTAGCTGCACTCTCGCACGCTATGGAATCCAAGTCCAAATTCTCGATGATAGGCCCTCCTCCACTGCAACCGGTCGAGCCGACGGCTTGCAACCGAAGACTATTGAGACACTCAAGCAACTCGGTCTTGCATCTACTTTGCTCGAGAAGGGGGTCAAGGTGTATGACATCTGTTTTTGGGTTAGTCGTTTGCGGTTTGAGTTTTGCATGAATGGGGATTAACATGTTACAGAAATCGACAGCGACTGAGAAACTACATCGTACGGCCAGGGAAATCCATTATCCAGCCGATGTAGTAGATTTGTTAGATCCACATCTTCTACTCATACACCAAGGAATGATCGAAGATGTATTTATCCAAGATCTAATAGCCCGAGGAGTTGAAGTACAGAGAAATTCCTCGTTCCTTAGATTCAAGAAGCCGACGTCTGAAAATGAAGATATACATGTAGAGTACAAAGATATTCAAAGCGGCGAAACGAAGTTTTTGAAGACGCAATATCTAGTGGGTTGCGATGGCGCCCATTCGAACGTCAGGAAATGCCTGGATGGCGCAGAGATGGAAGGAGACCAAAGTGGAAGTGTATGGGGTATCTTGGATGCTGTAATTGAGACGGATTTTCCAGATTTGTGGAGCAAAACTGTGGTGCAGGCTGAGACGGGTGCAATTCTTGCCATACCACGGGAGCGAAATATGACGAGACTCTATATTGAGTTACAAGATACGGCGGAGGAGAACTCCAAAAAGGTTGTTCAGGACTTTGTGATGAAGAGAGCCGAGGAGATTTTCAGTCCATACGTATTGAAATGGAAGCGCATTGGTGAGTGGATTTTCATGAATGAATCGAGAGTTTTGCTGACCTTGATAGAATGGTTTGCTGTTTACAGATTTGGTCAAAGAGCTGCCAAACGCTTCTCGGACGATGCTCAACGGATTTTTATTGTTGGAGATGTAAGTGGATGCCTTATCCCAATATTTATGTCGATCTAATTATAGAGCAGGCCGCGCATACTCATTCCCCAAAAGCAGCGCAAGGTATGAATGTATCGATGCATGACTCTTTCAATCTTTCATGGAAATTGGCTCTTACCATTAAATCTTTTGCACTCCCCTCTCTTCTGCAAACGTACACGCAAGAACGACAAGCTGTTGCTCGAGACCTCCTCGCGTTCGACTTTGAACATGCCAATGCTTACTCTGCGGGCGATCCTAAAGCACTAGCCGACAATTTTGCGCAGAATGTTAGGTTTATCTCTGGACTTGCGGAATATGGCGAGAATGTTCTAAATATTCCAGAAGTTGTTGCAAGAGTTCGTTCAAAGACAGAATCGCTTTCAAGTTATCGAGTACGTACAAAAGGTCAAAGACGTGGAGGTATACTGAAAGCTGGTGCTCTACTGCCACCGGCTAGGGTGACCAGGTACATTGATGCGAATCCCGTCGATTTGCAACTCGATATTCCTTTGCTGGGGCAATTTCGCATCTTTTTCTTCACGCCAAACGTTCACCGGTGGTCTGTTTGTTTGGAACACATTTTTCAGAAGCTCTCTGATCCCACAAATTCCTTCGGTCGCATTTCTACTGCAGCGCATCCATTCACACCACAAGAGACAGAAATGGATGAATATAATCAGCCAAACAGGTATATAGGTGTAGGCAAGCTGTTCACATATGCATTGGTGACAAAGATGGAAAAGGATGAATTCGAAATTGTAGATCTACCGGTAAGCTTGCAAGATAGCAGATGGACCATTTATCTTGACGGTCTTGGTAAATATGGAGAAAGCTGTACCAAAAAATGGGTAGGCGATGTCGAGGATGATGAGATGGTTGTTTTGAACATCAGACCCGATGGATACGTTGGGTCCTCCAATAGATTTGAGGTTGGAGAAGAAAGTGATGGCGACGGAGAGAGTACTGGTGAGAAGGTAGTAAAATGGTTGGAGGAATATTATGGTGGGTTCTTGAAAAGTTGAATGGTGATTACTTATTTTTAGAACCTCTTCCGACATGGAGTAGATAGATAAAACGAGAGCTTCGCTGATGATAGTACCTCGCAATTAATCAAAGAGATTATTTCAAATCTCCTTCCATACAAATAGTGTGCCATATCAAGTTCCTTCAACGTTTCGTTCGTTCCTACGCGAGACTGAGGTAACCGACGGCAAAACCTTTAAGTGGGTCTCAAATGTCAACAGTCAAAGAAATAAGCAAAAGAGCAAAACAGTAAAAGAGTAAGCAAAAGAATAAACAAAAATCTAAATAACAATAAAATTCAACACCAAAAATATCAAAACATTAAACCTAGTGTTGCCACTGGGGTACGGAATCGAACCGCGTGATGCCCCACCCGTGTTAGAGGTGTAATCAACTCACTAAACTTTTCTTTGGTACCGGCGCAGCATGGGATAGAGGAATTGGACCACTAGACCACACCACTCAGCAGAGGTTCGGTTGATATGTTTGTACTGCCTTTACTTGAAATTATATATGGAAGTTGGATGAGTGAATGTTCATTCAGTGGCTCAGCCTTTCATAAGAAGAACATGGTCGGGAAAACCCGTCAGCAGGTTTTTCGATAACGAACCCAGCCGCACTTCGCCCACCTCTTGAAGACAACTTGACTCAAGCAGCTGGTCTAAGTCTGCTACTCATTGTATATGGGACAAACGAATTGTTGATGTGTGCATTTCGTTCCTCGAGTTTAGATGCACCACGGCCATTGACTTTCCATCCTCCAATTGAAGATAATTTTCTGTGCACTCATTCCCCCACACCCTCATATTAAATTCTCGAACCTGATTTTCGGTACAGACACCACGGTGGTGGTGGTCTTGAGGCCTGCATTCGTTGTTGTATTTGCAAACTTGGTACAGGAAAGAATTGATCAAATCGCCTTCAGTCAACATCCTGTCAACATTATTCAACCCAGGCAGCAAAACGTTCTCAGCAAGCTTTTGCCAGAAGTCTCCGATCGTCCAAAGGGTTGCATATTACAACGTTTCTCCTCTCCTCCAATTTCTTTCACTGACCGAGAATTTTGTTCCAGAAGAAGAAATGCTTCAAGTGAGCTCCGATGAAGAAAGCCAAAATAATGCAATCGTGGTGGTATACTCAAGGTCATCTTCGATGCACTACTCGAGTACAAATGCCATGTACAGTGTTTTGCACCCAACTCTCGATATCTTCAGAGCACCTCCATCAAACGCCTCATACACTAGAGTGTATGCTGAGTAAAAGATGTGGAAATTCTATAGCATCAATCTCGAGAGGCGTACACTTCATGAGTCTTAAACGCAGCTTGCAATGCAGGCGCATCTTGTGTAAGAGGTGGTATCTCGGAGATATATCAAAGGTGGGATGATACCGCAACTTTGAGATAAAACCGAACAGTATTGAAATGATTGACCTGCCATCGGCTTAAAGGTCAAGCACTGCATTTGGTACACACAATCCTCTGCCAATCTCTCGATTTCGAGGTCACCCCCACCAAACGTCGCATTCGAGTGTATGCTGGACGAACGATAAGGATATCCCGAATCATCGGTCTTAAAGTGACAAATTTCAAGTAGTGTATGCGCATATTGTAATTAGGTGGTTCTTAGGCCCAGGATAACATCTCACAGATGACTCGCAAGCAGTATAATATTAAGCATGAATGGGTCGTCAACATCATTGACACGGAGAACCTACCCTTTTTGCCTGCAGAGCAAGCGTACGGACGGTCTTTATTTCTAAGAAACCTTTGGGGGAATGCAGTACTGAATCGAGCTACTCCGCAAATTGATGATAAAAGTCTCATCTGTGGTTGGAATTGAGATGGAGTGGAGTAGTTTTGGGTTGCTTACGTAATAGCCTATCGGTACTTGTCATTAGTTCTTTATCCGTCGCCTTGCATACCACAACACCATCTTACCTACTATCTTAGACATGATCATCCACTCTCAACAAGTTGAGCAACCAATACGAAAATATCAACTGCGCGATGCTTGTTTTTGTATTAAGCCACCCAGACAAGATGGCTTTCCAGATCAAATATCCCCGGCTTTCTGGCTCACCGTTGCACTCACCATTTTCATCTATTAACCATGGTACAATTAAAACCAGAGATTCAATCAATCTTTCAGGAATCTACTTTAGAATTCTATCTAAATGGAACGAAAATAATACTTCGCGATCCGAATCCCCTATGGACACTCCTAGATTTCATCAGGTCCCAGGACGATCTCAAGGGTACCAAGCTTGGGTGTGGTGAAGGAGGATGCGGAGCTTGTACAGTCGTGCTTCAGACTTTTGATAAGTCTTCTGACTTTCGACTGATAAAGCATCTCGCTGTAAATGCTTGCCTATTCCCTTTAGTAGGAGGTAATTCATCATAGAATCGCATCGTTTAATCAGAGCTAACGAAATATAGTCGTTGGGAAGCATGTCATCACCATCGAGGGTCTTGGGAATGCCGAAAATCCTCATCCACTACAGGAACGTATAGCAACGCTTCACGGATCACAGTAAGATGTTTTACATACAGAGAATAGTTTTTCAATTAATCTAATCGCGAATCCCAGGTGTGGCTTTTGTACTCCTGGTATTGTCATGTCATTGTATGCCTTAATCAGGAACTCTTACGATCCGATATCAAAGGTATTCCAACTATCTGCAAATGATGTAGAACTGGAGGGTCATTTGGATGGAAATCTTTGCAGGTGTACCGGGTACAAACCCATCTTGCAGGCTGCAAGGACCTTCATCACTGATGATCTGAAAGGAAAGATCTCTATTCTTAGGTCAGATACTATTGATGAGAATGGGCCCGAAACGAATCTTCCCAGTATACCATTACACTCAGATATTGGTCCTATCGACGTCTCAAACAAGAATGGTTCTTGTGGAAGAATTGGAGGGTGCTGTAGAGATTCACCAGATAATGGTTCTAGCAGACCTCGATCTAGCTCTCCAGAAGAATCTTCCAATGAAAGCCCTGCTCGACTTTCTGAGACCTCAATAAGTTCTCCTAACGATGATACTATGTTTTCGAACAGCTCGATGTCACACGATTTGAAAAATATTCAACATTCATTCATACCTCACCATCCTCAAAGCGAACTTATATTTCCAACAGCCCTCCGTAAATTTACTAAGACGCCGTTATATTATGGAAATGATACGAATATCTGGCTCGTACCGACGACACTCGAGCAGCTTCTCCTTATAAAGGAAGTATATCCCACAGCTAAGTTAGTATGCGGAGCTAGCGAAACCCAAGTTGAGGTCCGATTCAAATACACCTCATTTCCAGTATCAGTTTATGTTTCGGAAATTGAAGAGCTTCAAGACATTAACGTTCCAGAGGATGATAAAGAGTTTCAATCATGTACAGAAATAATCTTTGGAGCAAATACTCCTCTGACAGGGGTAGAAGATGCTTGTCGAAAACTCTCTCAAAGGCTTGGCCAGCGAGGTTCGGTCTTTGAAGCTATAAGAAAGCAACTTCGATACTTCGCAGGAAGGCAAATTCGCAATGTTGCTTCTCTTGCCGGAAATATCGTTACTGCATCCCCTATTTCCGACATCAATCCTGTGCTGATGGCATCAGACTCTATCTTGACCATTCAGAGCAGAGCTCAAGGAAAGATAGAATTACCGATGTCCGACTTCTTCGTTTCATATCGTACTACGAAACTTCCAATCGATGCCGTTATAGTAGATATTCGAGTTCCCTTGCCATCACCTAATGTTCGAGAGATCACCAAAGCATATAAGCAAGCCAAGAGAAAGGATGATGATATTGCAATTGTAACGGCTGCATTTCGAGTGCGACTTGATGATGATGCTGTCGTCTCGCAAGTATCATTGGTCTATGGCGGAATGGCACCAATGACTATCAAAGCATCCAAAACTATGAAATTCCTGCTGGGCAAACCTTGGAACGATTCAACAACGCTCAACAAATCTATGGAGCGTCTAGCCGAAGAATTCAATTTGAAATACGACGTTCCTGGTGGGATGGCATCATATCGTCAAACCTTGGCCATATCTCTCTTCTTTAGATTCTGGCATGAAGTAATTTCGGATCTTGGCATGGGAAATGTAGATCCTGATCTGATCAACGAAATACATCGAGGTATTTCCTCGGGTACTAGAGATAACCATAATCCATACGAACAACGTGTTGTAGGGAAACAAATTCCACATTTATCAGCTCTCAAACAGACGACAGGAGAAGCGGAATACATAGATGACATGCCTCGGCAGCATCGGGAACTATTTGGTGCTATGGTTTTGTCCAGCCATGCTCATGCAAAATTGGTGGAGGTAGACTGGACATCTGCGGTTGAATCAGGCCTCGCTCTAGGCTACGTTGATGTCAACAGTATCCCAAGAGACGCAAATCTTTGGGGATCTATTGTGAAAGATGAACCATTCTTTGCAGACGGAGAAGTATTTTCCCATGGTCAACCTATAGGTTTGGTATATGCAGAAACTGCTTTACAAGCACAAGCCGCTGCTCGGGCCGTTCAGGTTGAGTACGAAGATCTTCCAATTATCTTGACTATCGATGAAGCAATTCAGGCGAATAGTTACTTTCCTTATGGAAACATGTTGAAGAAAGGAGTTGCAATTGAGGACAAAATGGACGATATCTGGGCATCATGCGACAAGATCTTTGAAGGTACTACTAGAATAGGTGGTCAAGAGCACTTTTACTTGGAAACTAATGCCGCAATGGTGATTCCGAACAAGGAGGATGGCACATATGAAGTATGGTCTTCAACTCAGAACAGGCAAGATGTTTTTTTCTCCCCTACTCTTACTATTTATTAACGGCTTCTCTTAGCATGGAAACCCAAGAATTCGTAGCTCAAGTAACCGGCGTGCCCAGCTCCCGCGTCAATGCCCGAGTGAAACGGATGGGCGGAGCCTTCGGTGGTAAGGAATCTCGTAGTGTTCAACTCGCTTGCCTTCTTGCTGTCGCAGCCAAGAAGACCAAACGACCCGTGCGATGCATGTTAAATCGCGACGAAGATATGATGACAACCGGACAACGTCATCCGATACAAGCTCGATGGAAGGTCGGCGTTAAATCCGATGGTAGATTGATTGCACTGGAGGCAGATGTGTACGATAATGCTGGGTTTTCACAAGATATGTCAGCTGCGGTGATGGGAAGGTGTTTGACGCATTTCGATAATTGTTATGAAATACCGAACGTGCTGCTAAGAGGTCATGTGTGTAAAACGAACACACATAGTAACACAGCATTTCGAGGATTTGGAGGACCTCAAGCTATGTTCTTCACAGAAACATACATGACTGCCATTTCCGAAGGATTGAGCATCCCCATCGATGAACTCCGGCTCAGAAACCTCTACAAACAAGGAGACCATACTCCTTTTCTTCAAACGATTGACCAGGATTGGCATGTTCCACTTCTCTTGGATCAAATCAAACACGAAACGAACTACCCTCAACGACTCCTCGAAATCGAAACTTACAACCAAGAACACAAATACCGCAAACGCGGCATATCCCTCCTCCCCACCAAATTCGGTCTCTCCTTTGCAACAGCTCTTCATTTAAACCAAGCATCTGCCTCCCTCAAAATCTACGCCGACGGTTCCATTCTTCTTAATCACGGGGGTACAGAAATGGGCCAAGGGCTATACACCAAAATGGCTCAAATATGTGCTCAAGAATTAAATGTGCCAATCTCCTCCATCTTCACACAAGATACATCAAGTTACCAAACCGCAAATGCAAGTCCCACGGCTGCAAGTTCAGGGAGTGATTTAAACGGTATGGCTGTTATGGACGCCTGTCAGCAATTAAATGCCCGTTTAGCACCCTATCGAGAAAAGGTGGGACAAGATGCAAGTATGAAAGAATTAGCACATGCAGCATATCGGGATCGGGTTCATCTTAGTGCAAGCGGATTTTGGAAGATGCCACGGATTGGTTATGAATGGGGTGTTTATGATAGAGAAATAGTAAAGGATATGTACTATTACTTCACCCAAGGAGTAGCTGCCACGGAAGTAGAACTCGATATCCTTACAGGTCATCACACGGTTCTCCGAACAGATATCTTGATGGATATTGGAAGGTCCATAAACCCGGCCATCGATTACGGCCAGATTGAGGGGGCGTACGTACAAGGAATGGGCTTATTTACTATGGAGGAGAGTCTGTGGACGCGTGAGGGCCAATTGTTTACCAAAGGACCGGGTACATATAAGATACCGGGGTTTGCGGATATTCCGCAGGTGTTTAATGTGGCGTTTTTAAAAGATGGGGAGGGGAAGGAAAAGATGTGGCAGGGATTGAAGAGTGTGCAGAGTAGTAAGGGGGTTGGGGAACCTCCGTTGTTCTTGGGGGCGGGGGTGTTTTTTGCGCTGAGGATGGCGGTGAGGAGTGCGAGGGTGGATAATGGGTTGGCGGTTGGGGTGGGTGGTGAGGAGAATGGGAAGGGGGGATCTACGGGGTGGAATCTGGATAGTCCGGCTACGGTGGAGAGATTGAGGATGGCGGTTGGGGATGAGATTAGTGGGATGGGGAGGGTAAAGAGGAAGGAGGGAGAGGTGGGTTTCTTTGTTTCTGTGGCTTGATTTTGGTGTGTTTGCGGTGCATTGTGGGAAAGAGGGAGATGGAATACACGTTGGAAGGTCAATCACATGGGGTATTCAACCAGGGAAGTTTTATCAGTAGCACAAATTCATATCTTTAACCATCGAGAGGAGTATACTTTAGCCCTCTGAAATCTAACAGAGTTCAAGCTAGTGAGATACCAAAAACAACCAAACGAGACAGCTCAAGAGGAACTCCGGATAGCCATAATCTCGACTTGATGATTTTACTATGCGGGTGAGCTGGAAGGAAAGCAAGGCATCACAGCACCCCCAAGAAAGCAAACATTATTCATTCATAAATGTATTACTTTATTTATCATGTACGCATATGTACAATAACATATCTCATAGATCGACTGATCAACTCGTAAGTGACCCCAAACCCTTGCCTTGTCATGGGACCGACCCGACCCCCAGGTACCCAAACACCGTGATTGCGATTATGGTATCACCATATCACACCCATGAAAAGAAACCGCCACTCTATCACAATTTGCATCCATCAAACTGTGTATCGATCAACAAACCCACAAGCTCATCTCTTAAACTTCCTGCTTGTCGGCATATTGAACATGCTCAGCTCCAGAAGTGTTCTTGTCTGTCAGACCCATATCGGCGGCATAGGTCGAGTGAGGAACCCATTTTGCGGATGTACGTGGAGTGGTTTCTTCCAACATACGATCGACTTGTTCGAGGGAGAGACCCTTGGTTTCCGGGATCAGGAAATAGGCATAGACGAAGCAGCATGTGCAGAGAGCACCCCACATGAAAAAGACCTTGGAACCCAAATTGGCCTGTCCCTTTTCGGTACCGACGAGATATGGTGTGATGACAGCGATGATACAATTCCAGAGCCAGTTGGAGGCGGTGGAAAGACCAACACCACGGGATCGGATGGGGAGCGGGAAGATTTCACCGACGAGAACCCAGGCTCCGGGACCCCAGGTCGTGGCGAAGAAGAATATGTATATGCAGATGAAGGCGATCATAGCTGAAGTGGCGGATTCGTTGTGCTGGGAAGAGCGGCCGGCGGTAACTCCGATGATGGCAACGATGAATTCGCAGATTAACATGCCGAGAGCACCCCAGATTAGAATTGTACGACGACCGTATTTTTCGACGGTGTAGAAGGAGAGGGGAGTGGAGCAGACGTTGACGAGAGTGGTGATCAAACCGATGAGGAAAGGGTTGGAGATCGTACCCAGTGCTTGGAAGAAGGTTGTTCCGAAGTAGAAGATGAAGTTGACACCGGTCCACTGCTGCATCATTTGAAGAGATGTACCGAGGATGGTTCGGCGGAGATTGGAACCGGGATTGCGGAGTCCTCCCGTGAAGCAGTTCATCCAGGTGCCAAAGTAACCAGTATCGGGAATGACGGATATTTCGTATTCATGGTTGGCGATGATCTCGGTAAGTTCTTGTTGAATGAAATCACTGCCTTGTGGTTGGCCTCTGAGACGTGCGAGGTTGATGGCGGCTCGATCGAGATTACCTTTCTTGACAAAGTATCTTGGAGATTCGGGAAGGAAGAAGAGACCACCAGCTAAGATGACAGCCCATAAGATCTGCAGAGCGATTGGGATTCTGTAAGATCCAGTATCGAGACGGTTTTGAGTACCATAATCGACACATGATGCGAGAAGAAGACCGATGGTGATGCAGAATTGGTAACCAGATACCAAAGCACCACGAACCTTCTTGGGACAAATCTCGGACATGTAAAGAACGATAGTCGCCGAGACGAAACCAACACCGAAACCAGCGATCAAGCGACCCGCAACGAGGAGACCGAGACCCGTGGAAGCAGTTTGCAAAATGACCCCAACGATGAAGACGAGACAACCGAGAATGACCGTGGTTCGGCGACCGAACCAATCGGCAAGATCACCAGCAATCACGGCACCGAAGAAGGTGCCGGCCGAGAGAATAGACGTGATCAAGGACTTGTCAGAAGCGGGAAGAACGAACGCGGCGAGTTCGGCAGGTGATGCTCCTGAACCGGGAATTGCCTTGCCAGTCTACAGGGTCGGATGTTAGCTGGTGTTTGCGAGAAAGATGGGTAACTGGAGACTTGACGTACGTATAGATGGATGAAGTAATCCATTCCCATGACACCAGAGATGTAACCAGAATCATAACCAAAGAAGATACCTCCGAAGGAAGCAAAAGCACACATCATGTATGCTTTTGCTGTGACGGGTGCCTCGATGCGGGCAACATCAGAGGTTCCGGCCAATCCACCTGTCATTGTTGCGGTTGGTTTTGAATGTATTAGGAGGGAAGGTAGAGAAAGATTGAAGAATAGAGATCGAGTGACGATGACTCGGGACCAATTGTGAATCGATTGAATTGAGTATGGAATAAAGTTGTTGATGAGGATGATGAGAAGGGAAAAAAAGGTTATAGTTTCGAGGGATTTGAGTCCTTTTGTATCTGTATCCCATGGGATCCTGATAGACTAGGGTAGAGACCGTATTGGCATGGTTTACATGCTTGTATGATTGTATGATGTCTGCAAATTGGCCTTCTCGCCAAAATATTCGCATATTTTTCTCCAGATGGGGATGCCGCCTTCTCCACAACAACGCTAATTACCCCATGTCTCCATGCCATGCTCTCTCCAGACATCTTGACATGAAGCTACGGCCAGCCTAGAACCTGGTCTGTGTAATACCCCGAGTAATCGGTCCTTTTTGGAAGGAACCAACTGCTAGATACTAGATACTAAAGACTAGTACCGAGTAGAGAGTCAAGTAGACAGGTAAAGTGGTGTTGACTAGGTAGCATCCTCGGCTCAGATAATATAATGTCATTGGGTAATGACTACGGGGTACAGGATGCTAGCAATGTCAAATTAGATTGGCATGGTATGATGGGAATGGGGTATTTAGTGCCTAGTTGAGACTAAATCAAATCTAATATGATTGGAAGTTGATGTGGACAGATTGATACTTCTCTGCGATAATATTGTTTCAATAGAAACTAAAGCTATTGTAATACTCGTAGAGGGGAAACATATCAATAGCAAGGACTTGAAAGATTTGTAAACCCCATTAACAGGGGCGAATTAACCCCATCAATTTCCATTACGGGGCATCCGTGCAGTATGTATATTTTGATGGGCCCCATCTGTAACCCCACAAACGCTAAATTTTGGAACATTCGATATATTGAGTATTTCGTGGCATATTTCTTCCACCTTGAAATTGATCTTAGATACTCAGTACAATGATAAATAACATTATCTAGAAGTACAATAGCGATAACTGTATCATATGTGGCAATACGAGTAAATATCCGCCGAGTACCTACCTACCTACCTACTTGTACACAACTATTGACCAAGAGCTACTTCAAGCTCGTACAGTATGAGAATATCCCGACTGAGGATCATTTCATGCATAAAAGCCCCCACGCACGTTCGAAAGAGGAAAAGAGAGAAGCATTGAAAAGCCACCAACGTGATCATAAAACCGTACGTATACCAATTATGTATTATTCGAATTGATTTGAAATAATCAAAAGGGTCTTAAGATTAAGATTAAGATTAAGATTAAGATAGAGCCTAACGAAAGCAAGACGAACTTAGATACAAAGCCATCAGATTCACAGACCTTTCTAGAATTTGTTTGTATCTCAAACTCTCAAGAGTTCCAGTGAGAGTGAGAAAGAAGTCCAGTGATCAATTTGTATTTGTTACCCGAGTAGCCTGATTAATTTCACGGGGTTGATGTCCTTTTGGAGCTAAAGCGTTGATGGGCTGGCATGAGATGAGGTATGAGACATGAGGCATCGGCTATTAGCTTTGTTTTAGGATTTAGTGGTAACCCCCGAAGCTACATTTTCACGCTTCCACGCTTTCTAGAGCTAACGCTAAAGCTAGACACTGTAATTAGAGCTAACGCTAACGTAACGCTAAAATAACAGTATTTAGTGGGTAGTCCGTTCGTTCATTTGTAATTCTTTAATCCAATGATAATACTACCTAATGATAGTGAAGATCTGGGGTCCTCGAGCATGCATGCATTGCGGATAAACTGTCTAGACTCTGGGGACTCTGGTGGGCTCTGGTCTGGGGATTAATTCTGGAAACATTATTATAGATACTCGTGAATTCTTTCCTAATACCTATTCCATCTCGAGTACAGTATCTAAAGTTCTAAGCTGTCAACCCAAAAATCCTTTCAAAACCAAATGAAACACAAATAAAAAATAAGTATGCGAAGAATCTCCCAATTCCCCTCATCCCTCCCTTCCAGTTGGCCAAATCTAAGATTGGAACAACCCATTGGGCGTCCACCCCGTTTGTAACTGACGGGCTCGGGTGTATTACCCCCCAAAACTTAAGGGAAAACGTGTTGTGATTCTTGGCATATCGAACTCTCTGGGATTATTGCATGGCTCTTGGCTTGGCCATAGGGTCAAACGCCGAATTCTGCAGATTTGGGACCTTGGGCTTTGGAGTGGTATTGAGTTGAGTGAGGCATTGCGATATATTGCGATATGGATTGGTTTGAGAGGTTTGTCTACGGTAGTATCAATGTTCGTGGTTAATGATCTACTCGAGTATAAGGTTATATGTTATTATTTAGTGATCACAATATCGGTGACTGGTGATTACATCCCCATTTCCTTCCCATCCCCTCTCCTCTCTGCCCTTTCAATTTCCTTTTCCTCGCCTTTCCTTCCTTCCTTCCTCCCCTTCTTTCTTACTTTCCACAATTAAATCCACTTATTATCATATCAATTCCCCAATTTCCCCATTCCATTTCCTACAAGTTCCCACAATTACTCCAAAACTCCAGAAAATATTCACAAAACCCCAATATCCCCATTCCCCCGCTCTCCTCAGCATCTATGTCCGCTTTTACGCATAAGCAAATGGAGGTAATCGGGCCTTTGCATTCTATCTTTGGATTTCCATTTCCAACAATCCCCAACATCCCCAACATCCCCAACATCCCCAACATCCCCAACATCCCCAGAATCCCCATACGAGAGTATTTTACAGAGTACCCTAGTACTCGAGTAGATAGGTATCCACTTCAAATCTCCAAATCAGTACTATTCGTCTCCCACTGTTCCCGTAAACGCGGTCCCAACTTCCAATTCACACGATATACTAGGTAGGTATGTAGGTAGGTATATTCCTTGTAACGGACCGGGGCTATTGCCCGAACCGAGATTTGCAAAAATACACATATCACGAGATGGAGGCTGACCTGGACTGACTGAACTGGCCCGGACTAACTGTACAAAATAAGTTACAACAAAGAAGAGATTCGGGTCATCAAGCTAGCTGTCACGAGAGAGAAGTTACCAATTACGAGCTGAACTGATGAGTAAATAGACTGACTGTATTGTATACGATACGAGATGCAGCGGTGTATTAATGTAGCTTTTGATAACTATCCGAATTTCCGAAAGCTGGAGTTTACAGATCAGATACATACTCGAGTAGACCGTCTGGATATCCAAAATCATGTCATCTTGCACAATCAGGCTGTTTAAAAGGACCGTCCGTGCTGACAGTCCCTTGGGACTGGTGCCATCTGTAAGCATCGTGGCACACATATTCAGGTTCCCATCTGCCCGCCGCAACAACACCGATTGGGGTATTCTGATCTCAGTTTATGAATCAGAAGGAAGTGTGAGAGGGTTTCTGGGTATATCACTTCTTCCTTTTCCCCTTTATTAACTGTGAACTTTCGAATTGAGCATCGTGAATTTGAGATGAATATTGGGTTGTGGTTTTTGATCCGATTATTCTGCAAGATTTCAGAAAGAAGCCTCAAGCCTCAAGCCTCAAGCCTCAATTCTAACAACGCCCCTTCATCTAGTGGCGTCTTCGGCTATCACTTGCGGATATCAGTATCAGTGTACACAGGTACTGTACCTACCTAGGTACTCACACGAATATTTTCTCTCGGTAGGAAGTACAAGGTACTCTTTAGTCATTTCGTCATGAGGAGAGCTAATTATAAAGGTAAGAAGGTATTTTTTTGGTCTTTCTGGGGACTGGAACGAAGTCCACGATATCTCATGACTACTTAGGTATTCATTTGAACATTGGGTTTTACTCTACCCACTGACTCTACCGAGCACTTTAGACAAACCTTTGCAGCAAAGCGAGGCCAGCCAATACGGAAATACGGATTTGAGTGCGATATAGCGGAGCGGAGAAGTTATTTACGGCGCCACTGTTGTTATATATAGGATGTTTAGGATAGGTAGGTACCGTACTTGTCTTTAATTGCACTTCATTTCATTTTCACCCTCTTCGAAGTTCAAAGTTCGTTTGCACATGCAAGATATGAATGAAGGCTGCTAAGAATGTGTACGAGTATAGCATTACAGTACAGTAATCAAAAGACGTCACGTCACGTCACGGTAGAGTATAGTATAAGTATGGTATGAGACTGCATACAATACTCGTATATCTCTAATCTATTCGAGTGAATTTCGATTTCCACACTCCGGATACAGTTGCGTATCTCACGGACAGAGAACGATACAGTACGTAACGTTGCGAGTGGATGTACGAGTACATGTCCCATGGTGTTACACGATGTAATCTTACGAGATGGTTCTCGAAGACACGAAGAAGAAATAGAAACGGGATAAGAAGAAGAAGAATAAGGATAATAAGGATAGGAATAGGAAGTGCTACAGATCTACGGTATGATATGATATGTATAATATGATAAGATAAGATATCGAGAAGTGTCTTTGTTTTGTTTTTTTGTTTTTTTTCCGACGGCGGACAACGACAACGTTATCTTGTGGTCACGTCACTGTACACGGTACAATATACGATGCATAGAGTCTATGTTCTATGACGAGGAATACTATGCTCTATTTGGAGATTTGAAAATTGTGGATTTGAAGATATTGTTGTAACTTGTATTGTGGGTGCTCGAGAATAGTAGGAGTGGTATACCAGAAAGGCGTCTGTCTATCTGTCGTTTAAGATGATGAGGTATGATATTGGTATGGTATGGTATGGTGAGATGACTACTCGTAAGGAAGGCTATACATATATATATGCATGTATAGGATAGGATAGGATAGCTAGCGAACTAGCTGTATTACTTCTTTTTCTGTATACTCGAGTACATGAGATTGTATACACGAGGTAATATTTCTAAGTATACCTACCTACCTATTCAAATTCAATGGCGGCGTGGACCATGCATGGATATATCATGTTATGTTGTGTTGTGGTATGTTATGTTATGTTATGTTACT